TACTCCCTTCCGGACTGCCTCTACGACTTCCAACAGATCGTTGATGAACACCTGGAACAATGTTGGGGACGGCGTGCAACCTTGTGGGACCCCCCTGCTCAATGTCGAAAAATTTAGACAGTTATCCGTCTAGCATGACCGCGCTTTCCGTACACTCATGTCATCTTCAGGACTCTCCACATTTTCCCCTTGATCCCGTATTTGGACAATTGTTTCCACAGCCCATTTCTCCATACGGCGTCGTATGCCTTTTTCACGTCCAGGAAGAAGCAGTACGTCGGCTTTCCCGCCCTCCTTGTACCTTGGATGATTCTTGCATGCAATGGTAACGAGAATACGGTGCGGGGGTGCGAGGCCTGTGTTGGTTGTACACCCACGCCGTTCCTCTGTTCTGCTTCCCAGTGGGTGCGTTAGTTGGTTGGGTTTGCCCGTCACCGCGAGCTCTTTGCAAAAATACCGGGGGTGTTTTGAAGAGAGGTGCAGAGGTGGAAGGCAAGCGTTATTGTAGTAGGGGGGGAGGGGGGCGCACCTCCTTGGCTGCTTGCGTGGTTTCTTTGATGGTCCGCACATGCATGCCACCTCCCAAGAGGGAGGGAGATGCAGGGCAGAGAGAAGACGCAGGGTGGCAGCGGCAGGCAGCATGGACCGGGAGAGAGGAGGAGGGGGGGGCGGACGGATGTTCATGCACTCGACGGGGCGGAACGCGGCCCCACTAGACTTGTTGGTGGGGACTCGGCAGTAGCTCGGGCATCCACCAAAACGGTACCAGCGCACACGTGTGTGCTTCGCTTGCTTTCCGGCATCCAGCTGTGTGCCGCCCTTCTATACACGACGATTGGTTCAAATACTTACATTTATGTCCGATACCAACCGCAACGCCCGCCGGTGTGTCACCTACACGCCCAGACGCGAGCCTGCTCATGTCTTGTGCTAAGGACAACCGCACCCTCCTGTGGGACCTGTTCAGCCTCAAGCCTGTCTACGAACTCCCTCCCGGCGGGGGCGCGGAACTGCCGGTGAGCTGGCCGTTTCTTTGTTTTTTTCGCGCGTGGGGTGGGGGCGTTTGGAGTTTGGCCTGTTTGGCCGATGGTTTGTTGCGTTTTTGAAGTATTTACGTCCATGGTCATGGCGCTACAACGTGAAGCAGACGGGCAGAGGGCGTGCATGTTTGTGATGCGCGTGTCTTGGAAGTCGTACCGTTCCGGGAGAGACACCACAAACCCTGATATTTCTTTCCACTCCAATTTTGGTACGTATCTGGTAGGTACGTGTGAGAGCCCCCCCCTCCCCCGCCTGCTCTCATGCCTCGCCTGTTTTTAATGTTTATTTTCCATCTCCACGTCGCCGAACGCCCCCCTCACGACCCCACCTCGTACCCCCGTCTTAAACACCACAAACGATGCACCCATCGCAACAACAACAAAAATCAGCAAGAAAACGCTCAGATGTTCGGCGGGTACGGCAAGACGGCCCAGCGGCGGTACCAGGTGTCGTGGTCCCCCCACATCCCCGCCGTGGTGAGCACGTGCTCCTTCGACCGCAAGGTCCAGCTGTTCAGCATGAACGGCGCCAGCACCTCGAACGGCCGGGCTCCAAAGTGGCACCGCCGCCCCGCCGGAGCCTCGTTCGCGTTCGGCGGCCGCCTCGTCTCCTTCTCCGCGACCGGCGGGGACGCGGCGGCGGGGAACGCCGCCGTCGGCCAGCAGGTGAGGGGAGGGGGTGTTTGGGGTCGGTGGGAGGTCCACAGGTTTTGGGGGAAGTGGGAGAGGGAGCGGGGGGTGGGGGGTCGCTTTGGGTCCGGTCCGTGCGTTGATGGTCCATCACCTTTGCATGGGACTTGGGTTTTTGGCTCGTTCGCTCGATTCGCAAAGTGGTCTACCGCTCATTTGCCGTGTACTGCAGTAGCTCAGCGACATTGCGGTATTGTGTTGTATGTATCCGCTTTCCAACACCGCGCCACCCCAATTCCTCGTCCGCACTCCCGTACGGTTGCACACACCCGCACACAATGCGCGCGTGTGTACGAACGTGTAGGGTGCCACCGCCGGCGGCGGCGGAAGCAAAACTGTGAAGATATCGTCGGTGAAAGAGGACGCCGCGTTCGTGGCCGCGTCGAGGCGGTTCGAGGAGGCCATGGCGACCCAGGGGTTCCGCGGTTTCTGCCAGGAGAAGGAGGCCTCGGCCGCCACCGCGCACGAGCGTCGGGTGTGGCAGTTCATGCAGGTCATCTTCGAGAAGAACGCCCGGAACCAGCTCCTGGCGCACCTCGGCTTCGACGGGGAGACGGTGGCGAAGTGAGAGGGGAGAGGGGGGGGGGGGGGGGGGGGGGGGGGGGGTGTACTCATAGTCGTGCATGCCGTAGTCGNGGGGGGGGGGGGGGGGGGGGGGGGGGGGGGGGGGGGGGGGGGGGGGGGGGGGGGGGGGGGGGGGGGGGGGGCTGTGTCGTGACATTTTTTTTTGTTTTGGTGTTTTCTCGGTGGTCTACCCACTGATTTTTGAGTAGGCGCTGTCGGAAGAGGACGGGAAAGAAAGGGGGCGGGGGGAGGGAGGGAGTAGTTTTTTGGCGAGACTGAGGTGTTGATGGGCAGGTGGTGGTAGAGTACGTCATGCAAGGTTTGGGGGGGG